TAGACAGCATGATTATTGCACAGGTGTGCCTTAGGCTGGCCTGTTTCCATTCTCTTGCTTTTAATTTGACATTATTTCCTCTTTATGTTTCACCTTAGTTTCAGACTTTTTACTTTAATCATCACTGTTTTCACCCCTTTATAGCCCCCCCATCCCCCCCATCAGAAAGCTACCAGATTGTTCTAGACTCCAGCTCTGACTTTCCAGCGTTTTCTTGTACCTGTACTCTTGTTCTAACCCTGGATTGTTTGTTTGACCACCGTACTTTGCCTTATCCCCCCAGATTCTGATTGCCTGTTGTGTACCGACCCTTGGATATTCCCTTTCTGACCTCTCTATCGTGGTTCCTTCAGCTGTATGTGTTTGCTGGCACTGACCTTGGACTGTATTATAGACCCACTTCTGATTGTGAACTTTTGTACTATGGTTTTGTTGTTGCGAGTAAAGAGACTATCGACAACCTTTCTTCGTCTGGCATTATAACTGAGTTCACTACAGACACTATTTGGCAGCTTCACTCGCCAAACCTGACAACTCTACAATGTGCAGTTTTACTGTTTTGGGGGGGTCCGAAAACCAGTATCTGGTGTGACCATCATTTTCCTCACACAGTGCAGCACATCTCCTTCGTATAGAGTTGATCAGGTTGTTGATTGTGGCCTGTGGAATGTTGGTCCACTCCTCTTCAATGGCTGTGCAAAGTTGCTGGATATTGGCAGGAACTGGAACACGCTGTCGTATACGCCGATCCAGAACATCCCAAACATCCTCAATGGGTGACATGTCCGGTGAGTATGCTGGCCATGCAAGAACTGGGATGAACGTATTGACAAAAGTCTGGTAAAACAGATACATTTGGTATCTAATAAAAACAAGAAAATGTCATAATGTGAAAAATATCTCATAACACAAGGAGTTTGAAAAATAAAGTTTTTATTGGTGTTCCTAATAAACTGAGCTCAAGCAGTTTTTCAGGTGTCTGTGTGTACTTGATGTGGTCTGTTACTGTGACGCCTCATCCTGCCACCGTCTCCACGGCAACAGAGCAGTAATGTGACATTCTTCATTTGGAGCGTTGTGTAACTGATGAAATGTGATTTTAAATGCAAAGAAGACAACATTATTATCAGAAGATTGTGAAAAGCATTTCTTGTCTTTCTACAACAGTCAGATAACATTTCTGCCTGTTATTCTCTCTTCTGTCTCAATCTCTGCAGACTGAAGACGCTGCAGCACCACGCTGTAAGGTCAATGTCAGATGATGCTGTAGCAGCTCAACAACAGACAGAAGAATCTGTGGGCGACAAGGACGAGTGTAAAGAAAATGTTATTGTTGGTGAGGAGTCACAGTTCAGAGGACGTGTTCAGATAAAATCTGAAGCGGTTTTCTAACAGAATGAATTAGATGTTCATCACCTCCTGCTGCACCATTCAGCCTGCACGTAGCCTACATCCACGGATTATTGATCTGATTTGAGTTTCTTCAAAGGAACAGTCAGCACTCCGTGATGTACACGGAGCGCTTTCTCAAGTGAAAGGTCATCAGTCGCATCTGAAGCTAAAGTGAGCTGCAGACACATCGCTCTGTCCAAACAACAATTCAAAAATGTATTTAACCGATTACATTTCTCTGCTCAGTACTTTAATGTGATGTTGTTCATCATGTACTGTAAAAAAATAATTAGGCATGTAACTGATCAATAAAGCATTAGTAAATGATTTATTAACAATAGTTTATAAACCCTTGGTAAGTGCCAACCCCTCCTTTAATGAAACTCAGATTAAAAATCCGTGGTTGTGTGTGTGAGGGCTAAATGTTCACGCCTGAGTCATTCTGTTAGATTTCTTCAGCTTTTATCTTGTTAGGTATTTTTAGTCAGATAGATATTGGATAGATACTTTATGTTTTAGAAATGTTTAGTGGAGATAGGATGTCTAGTTAGACTGTTAAATGCTTAGTCATGCTTATGAGTTTCTTCAGGGTACATCTGGTCAAGGATATTAGGGAGAAGAGTTGATGACTGTCAGCAGACAGGTATGACCAGCTGCAAAGCTGGCAACAGAGATGTCTCGGTTGACGTTTCTGTGTAGTATGGGGCTAGCCCAACCGAGGGGATATAATGTATAGGCCTGGTGGGTTCAGGGTCTTTCATCTTACATCTGCCTGCGAGCAGTTTGGAGGTGCAAGATGCCTGAGCGTGTAATGTTAATTTTACCTGTGATCCTTTGAATAAATCAGGACTGTTTTGAAGTTACTTGGACTGTCTCGTCTCTCAGAGTTAGCAATGGTAACAAGAACTGAGACCTACAATCTGAAACTCTTGACTCCTCACCAACACTTCCTCTTTTTCTCTCCACTAACACTTGTCACCCACAGATTCTTCTGTTTATTGTTGAGATGCTTTGCAACTGAGCTTGCCTTCTAAATGTAAGATAATTTGAATGGAGTGTGGTTACAGGGTGGTGCTGCAGTGTCTTGTTTATGACTGTTCAGGCTAAAAATGTTTATCACATCTTCTGAAACTCAATCTTTTCAGAGACATTTCTTTTTCTCCATCTGGTCACAGATATACAAAAAAAATCAGTTTAATCAAAACATTAAAATAAAACCAGTTTAAGAATGACACTGCTGCTCAGGTGACATTGAGGTCTGTCAGTGCTTCGGCTGTTTACATTCTCAGTTTGCACATGCATAATTGCACATTGACTGCTGCACATGCTGCTCCCATACAGCATACATTCTCTTATTATATTCTTATATATTTTTATCATATTGTTGCATTTGCTGCTTAAAGTGCCTTAGATTTTATGTTACTTATTTATCTAGTTTATATTTCATTTGTATTTTGTGGCATTCATGTGGACGGCAAAGTAAGAATTTCATTGTACAGGGAAACACGTTTCCTAACTGTGCATATGACAAACACTTTGACTTGACATGATTTAAATTAGAGAGCTGAGAGAACAGATAATCCTCAATCCAATTGTGAGAAACTAGGGAGGCGGAGAGAAGGACACAAATATAGGATTAACTCAGAACAGAGTAACAAACAACTGATCTGATCAATCAGAGCTGATGTCTCACGACAGAGTCCACAGTAAAATTAAGAAATCAAATCAAATCACATTTTATTTGTATAGTTCCAAATCACAACAAAAGTCATCTCAGGACACTTTACAGAGTAAGGTCTAGCACCTTACTGTTATCACTATTACTACAGAGGAAAAACCCAACAAATCCCCCTTGAGCAAGCACTTGGTGACAGTGGGGAGTAAAAAATTCCTTTAACGGAAGAAACCTGCTACTTGCAGAAAAGTACAGGGAGGGAGAGAGGACACACTATGGGAAAGAGGAGACACAAAGTTAGTAATGTGTAATGGTGGCATATAGAAGCATAGGGAGAGAGAGGAGAGGAGAGGAGAGGGGAGGAGAGGAGAGGGGAGGAGAGGAAAGAAACTCAGAGCATCATGGGGCCCCCCAGCAGCCTAGGCCTATAGCAGCATAACTAAGGGATGGCTCAGGGTCACCTGATCCAGCCCTAACTATAAGCTTTATCAAAAAGGAAAGTCTTAAGTCTAATCTTAAAGGTAGAGAGGGTGTCTGAAATTCACATGTAAGTATTTTAAGTCCAGCAGGTTCCACTTTCTCACTCTGGTTACTGTCACATGAGCTCTGTAGGACTATGGTTGAAGCAAATCAATGTGTGAATGTGCGTGTGTCTGTTGATTAAGTGGTGTGTAACTAAAAACATTCTCACGACCTCTAGTACATGTCGTGACTTAAACATAAGAACATATTATGGCTAAGGCTACAGTTCTACACGTCATAATAATAATATTAAACACCCTGTCTGCTGACAGTCATCAACTCTTCTCTCTAGTTATCCTTGACCAGATGTACCCTGTAGAAACTCATAAGCATGACTAAGCATTTAACAGTCTAACTAGACATCCTATCTCCACTAAACATTTCTAATACATAAAGTATCTATCCAGTTTCTATCTGACTAAAAATACCTAACAGCTCCTTTACTTTTCTAATATTTGATTCTTATGAGCTCGTTACTTTATAAGCTTTTGTTACCTCTCATACCTTCAGTTCCCCTTAGTTACTTTTCATTACTTTAGTTCCCTTTAGTTACCTTTCATAACCTTAATTTCCTTGTCTATACATATTACAGCTGTATTGATTATTGTCCAGAACTACTGTGCTTTGGTTAACTTTTAATACATTTATTTTCCTTGCTTATACTATATCTTACAATTGTATTGATGAGAATCAAGTGATACTGAGGTAGAAACTGTCTGCTGTAACATCTGTGTAGAGACAGTATGTCTGCATCCCTTCATGAACAATCGGCCTATTTACATTTTAACAGAGACCTGTTTCACACCCACACCTAGACCCACTTAGCATATCCCAAGTTCTGCCTCGCCAGGACGTGTCGTACACATCCAGGGGGGCTCACCACCAGACACACACACACACACACACACACACACACACACACACACACACACACACCTAGACTTTACCACATTGAAACAAAGAAGAGCTCCGGTTCACACCATATGGACAATAGGATCAAAAACTATTGAATGTTGTACCTCTGTCCAGGGCGGAGCAGCCCAAGAAGATAAAATGCATTGTAAAACATGAAGCTGGTTTTCCTGCGGGAGCTCTATCTCTCTGAATCCAAGACTTTCCTGTGATCAGACTTTCAGTAAACTTTCTGTTGATTTTAAACAGTCTTCTCCTGTCTTCACTTCTCGTGCTTCCAACAAAAGAATTGGGTTAATTTCTAACACTTTGATCCCTCTGTAAAGTGACTATAAAAATGATCAAGTTGTGACTGGAGTTTGGTGCACAGACTGAATGTGCAGCAAGAGGATTGAGACCATTTACGTCTGAGCTGACACCTCATCTGTCCACAGGTATACATATGACCATTGTGTTCCTGTGTTTAAACATTTAAACAAACATACACAAACACATTCTTTTACAACAAAATAGATTTATTCTTAATTCTCCACACCAAAAATATCACAAAGTGTTTTTATTTGCTAAAAGTCTGCCCCCGAACACCTCATTAGAAGCCTTCACTCATCCCTGAACACCCTGTTGTCTATCACATTGAACGTCCACAGAAATCTCTGGTCCAATCAGAGTGCAGCGAATCTGCAGCATTACTTGTTGCCAGGCTGGGCAGCAATGTAGAGAGCCACGAGGCAGTAAAAAGCACCCCCCACCGTCAGACCCATGGTGGTTCGGTACAGCAGCTTGTCTATCAGACCCCCCTTAAGGTGGACTGGGATCCCATCTGCTCTCTGAGAGAAGGAGAAACAGGTTACCTGTAAGGGGTGGGGGCTTATATCACCTCAAATTGCACACATGGCCTGCCACAACGCACCTGAGTAGAGTTCAGTTTAACCAGATTTCTAAATAGTACACTAGGGGTAACCATGGCAACAAGGTCAAAGGTCTTCGAAAGATTTTCAAGGACCACAGGGCCCACTTCAGTGATCCTTGGAAAAACCTCCATGTTTAATCTAACCTTTTACATGATGCTGAAACATTCTCATGGACCCAAAAATATTCAGGATTTAAATATATTTAAGGACTACTGTAACCTAATCCATGACCTATGGGACCTTTCATCAGTCCCCCCAAACAGAAATAATAAGAAATAAATTAATACTTCTATTAAAAGTAAAATAGTCACACAAGACTTCACAAGTTTCAACAAGCATGGGCCTTAACAAGTTAAAAACAAAAACTCTTCACACATGTAGGTAAAGAGCGAACCCAGTCTTAGGCCATTGCCTTAGTCCCAGTCTACTAAAAGCACATGGGAGTATCATGTGTAATTATTACAAAATGAGAGGGACTGATTTCCATCGGACATTAATTGTACATGCAGCGGGGGGTTTTGGCATGGGCGAACCGGGCAGCCGCCCAGGGCGGCATTTTTTCATGACACGTGGGGGGCAGCACAAGCACTTAGAAAGAAAATAATCTGCGCCGCTAAGCGGTTTTCTATTATCTATCATATGTGGCGCCCCTGCTTGATGAGAAGGTGCCGTGCACAGAAGCTGTGTGAGAGGTGGAAAGGGGATGGGAGGGGGCGCAGGCGCAGTAGGAGAGTTCACCTCTCCCAAATGGAGCGGACGGGGGGGTCCACTTAGTAGGCTAAACTAAGTCAGTGACACCTTGACTTTCTTCCAAATAATGCACATTTGATTCATAATATTAAAAAAACACAGACCTATAATTTGCACGTTTCTGTTTTTTCCAAATTGTGTAAAATGGCTAATACAAATAGGTAATACAAGGTGAATTGGTTTAGTCTTGACTTCTGGTCATGAGTGACAGTGTTGGGGGATGGGAAATCTGTTGATTGGAAAAATAAAAAAAACAGAGCGATGGAGAGAAAAAGGTCAAAGCTGTCAGGTGCCCAATTTAGGAAAAAGAGAAAAGAAGAAGAGGAGAAACAAACAACGGATAAAGGTATGCAGCTATGTTCTGTATGATTACGGTATCCATGTCATCAGTGAAGGGCTAATGTTAATTTATTGGTATATTGTTAACTCTTACGTTTGTTAGCCTTCTTGCTATGATGCTTGCTATGCTTACACAACAATAATTCAGTCTTTACTCGACACAAGATCTAATTTCACCAGAAAATTGTGCTTTGCAACAAAACTGTTACAAGTACAGTTATTATTTGCTTCCATCATTCAGGTTAATGTTTGCCCCTGTAATTAGCCAATGGAATTTACATATGCGTAGGTAGTTTCAAAGACAACATTTGCCATTTGCTATAACTCTGTTATGTGACAAAGCATATAATTCAAAGCAGTAGGTTAG